TTTTAAACATCCTTCCTGAACTCTATGAATTGTGAGAAGCTGAAGTTGTCCTTGTAAGTTAGTCACGATTCAACAAGGATGAGGTCATAATTAACTAAGATGGACTGAATTTCCAGACGCTTAGAACAAAGACTTCTTCAGTTTCAGAAGAAAACTCGTAAAGATGTAATAGTTGTTGCTATGAATAATTATTTAATCTAATTAGAGTCTTCTTTTAGAAGAGAGAAATCCTCACTCATATCTTCTGAATAGGAACTGTTGAGGCATTTGACAATTCTTGTAATGAGGATTTTTATCTTAAGTTCTGTAAAGAAGAGGAAAGCATCTTTATGGTATGCCCCATGTGTGGTTTAACACTGCTTCCAGGATTTTGTTGTAAGTGTCTAACACAAACTATAGACAACTTTGAAAATTCACTGGGTGATTGTGAGTAGGATCCAAGATGTAATCCTTGACAGACAGCAATAGCAAGGAGATTTCTAGAAAAGTCTCTGCTCTGTTAGCTGTTTCTTGATTTCTTTGGTAGAAACAACTGCTTTATGTATGTCTACTATATATTATCTTTGACAGCATTCAAATCACTAAAAGAGTTATAAGAGCTGAAATCAGTAAGCTGTCTCTTGATGCATTTTGGTGATGGAGCAGGAGGACAGTTTCTGATGTTTTCAGCTTGCAGTTTATGTATCTGTGATAATGATGGAACAAAAATCTGAAATGAAAGTAATACAGGAAAAGATTTTGTCAGTTCAGCTTGGACAACTGGATTAATAATTATTTTGTTATGACATAAGTTAGAATTAAAGAGTAGCGGCTGAGGATCAAAGTTTTTGCAGAATTTAGCCACATGACTTTCTTCCCTGCATAAGAAGCAGATTATTTTTTCTGCTGATAGATATATCCATTACAATGTATTATTTAATTTATTTAGATGAATTTCAATATGTTATATATGTCTTTAGATTAGGTACAAGTCTGACAACAAAAGCTCAAGATGTGTGCGTATCCTAAATCATTTAGACAATATAAATATGCGATAAAAATGCTCTAATGAAGATGATCTGAAAGATGAGCCTAATATTTTAGTTACTGAGTTTTGTTATTATTCTATGTCTCCTTTTTTATTAAATATCAAGTCCATCCTAAATATATTATGTCTCTAAGTACATTTCAATAAGTAAAACATCTTGTTGTAAGTTTTAATTTTAGTTTCTAACAAAAAACGCAAAACACGAATAGAGCACTTTCCGAGACAGACATAAATACATAATAAAAAATGAAATAATTTTAGATACTAATCTCATGTTTTGGAATCTGGAGATACTTGTTATAGTCACAGACGGATAGTCACATAGAGGATTTTACTTGTTATAGTCACAGACGAGCTTTACATTTCGGTAATGAAAGTGTTACAACACTGTAATGGGTCTCAAAAATCATATTACTGGCGCATTCACTAGTTCCCCAATTCGTTATTTAAACGTAGAGTGCGCTAAAAAAACCAGTGATTCTTTACTACATCGGTATTTCAGATCACGGGCCACGAAAGTCCATTAGATGTTTAATCTATTCATATATCTCGTTCAAGTCAATTTAAACAATATTTTACTTATCGCGTTAGTAAAGTAACTGTGTAATAAGTGTAAAAATCAGTTTATGATGTAATAATAGATATTTATTATTTCGTATACTTACTTAAATACAAGTTTTGAAGTAATTTTATAGCAATTTGAAGAATTCAAAAACCAAGTATTTTACATTATCAGTTACAATTTTACTCTTTTATTTTAAAAGATTTATTTTAAAAACTATTAAATTATTGATTACTATAATAGAAAAACTGTTTTACGAAATACTAAAATTTTCAAAATTTTCATTATCAACTGTTCCGGATCACTGACGACCGAAATATTAGATTAACCTTGAGAGATACAGAGATTCATTATCAATTAAATTTTCGCCGTTTTAGAAGTTTGCAAAAAAAGTTATCAACATTAGATTAACCTCGAGCGGCTTAGAGATCATTATCAATTAAACTTTCGACGTATACACAAAGATAAAATTTTAGAAGTTTGAAAAAAAAAGTTGTCAACTGTACCTGATCACTGACGACCGAAATATATATAACCTTGAGTAGTACGGACACTCATTACCAAGTGAATTTCCTTCGTGTGCACATCGGCCCAGCAGAGAACCCAGGACATCGTGGGATCCGTGCGTCTTAACTTTAAGTTGCGTGCGCCTTAGCTTTAAGTTGTGTGCGTTTTAGTTTTAGTTTTAGTTAATCTCTGTAAATTTATTGTGAACGCATTCCGTACAAAGTCACGTTTATTGAACTTGAGACGAAATTAGAAATCCCTCATCTCCTTTCTTCTTTCGTTCATTTTTGCTATTGTTACTTTGTTCGTCGCACTAGAGTCGAGTCACCAAGTTTCGCAGTCAGTGTGACTTTCTTCCCTGCATAAGAAGCAGATTATTTTATTTGTTTATTCTATCTGCTGATAGATATATTCATTACGATTATCATAATTTATTTAGATGAATTTCAATATGTTATGTACGTCTTTAGATTGGGTACACATCTGACAACAAAAGCTCAAGATATGTGCGTATCCTAAATCATTTAGACCTGCTGTAATGAAGATGATCTGAAAGGTGAGCCTAATATTTTAGTTACTGAGTTTTGTTATTTATTATTCTATGTCTCCTTTTTATTAAATATCAGGTCCATCCTAAATATATTTCGTCTCTAAGTACATTTCAATAAATAAAACATCCTGTTGTAAGTATTAATTTTAGTTTCTAACGAAAAACGCAAAACACGAATAGAGCGCTTTCCGAGACAGACATAAATACATAATAAAAAATGGAATAATTTTAGATACTAATCTCATGTTTTGAAATCTGGAGATACATTTTACTTGGTATAGTCACAGTCAAGCTTTACACTTCGGCATTGAAAGTTTAACAACACTGTAATGGATTTCAAAAATCATATTACTGGCGCATTCACTAGTTCCCCAATTCACCGTTGTTTAAGCGTAGAGTGCGCTGAAAAGCCAGTGATTCTTTACTACGTCGGTATTTCAGGTCACGGGCCGCGAAAGTCTGTAAAATGTTTGATCTATTCATATACCTCGTTCAAGTTTAAACAATATTTGATCCACTTACCGCGTTATTAAAGTAACTGTATAATAAGTGTAAAAATCAGTTTATGATGTAATATTAGATATTTGTTATTTCGTAGTTACTTAATTAAATGCAAGTTTTGAAGTTATTTTTTATAGAAATTTGAAGGATTCAAAAACCAAGTATTTTATATTATCAGTTACAATTTTACTTTTTTATTTTACCTTATAAGTTACATGAATGATGCAACACTAATTGAAATTTCGAAATAGAATAAAAATTATATTTTTTACTATATAATTGAATCAATAACAAATTCGAAGTAGACACTTAATCAACAGAAAAAAAAAAATTCGCAAATAAAATTGAAGAATGTATGTATATATAAATATTAAATAAAAATTACTTCATTTTCGTTTCCTCAATACTTATTTAACATACAGTATTTTCAAAACATTTAATTATTAAAATAGCTATTATTTATATACGTATTTAGTATCCATAT